CAGCCCACATGTCTGTTTTTAGTTGTTTCACTTCTTTTAATGTATGTCAAACATTGCGTTTTGTTGCTGCGCCTCGTGAATCCTCAACCGATTTTGATCACTGTGATGACGAATGTCGTTGTCGATAAGAGTACAGACCACGCTAAACCGCTGGGAATTTGTCAAATGCAGCCACGGCCGTGCGTCCATAACAAGACGTGGGCAGTTTTACTCCAGCTGCAAATTTCCCTTTGTTTAAAGCCGCAAGGTTTCAAACCTTCTAAGTTCCATTTTATGATCCCGACTGAGATAAGCCTTTTAGAGCTCAAAGTGAAAAAATAAATACGCTAAATATAATACCGTGGGGTAGGGGAGTTAAAGACGCCTTCAACTAAACAACACATGAAAGTTTTACATAGAAGGTCCAGACAATTCTACTCTGATACCTGAGAAAATACGTATTGAACAAGAATGTATTAGAATTTCGGTCCAAGCATTTTTTCGATCGCCTGACAGACTTCTTTAATTATGTACGAAATTGCAGCCTTGGAGATTCAAAACTGAAAACTTGAAGATCTAAAAGTTTCTCCCGTGGCAAGAAAACGCAATGTCAATGTCAATCGTTCGGCTGCACCTATTGCCTTATGTCCTCCTTTTGGGACTTCACGAGGGGTGATATTCACTTCTATTTCTCGCAATATCACAGTGAAGTCCTCGAATGTCATTCTTATCATTTGGTGATAAGCAGGCGTGTCTTCGGCGGCCAGTTCTCGAACAATATGGGTAAAATAACCATTCTCTTGTCGTCTGCGAATCCATTCTCTTGTTTTCCCTCGCTTACTTGCTCTATCCTCGGTTTCTTCAAGCTCGTCAAGCACTAATAGCATTGATAAACAACGCTTAAATTCCTCTTTCCTCTCCGCCATGTTTCAAACATCCGTTGATATTACAACGTGGTGTGCGCTGGGAAATATCCTTGCCCACAACCCTATGCGTCCCATGTTTGATCAAACATGTTGAACGGATGTTTGGTATCGTTTGGCCACCCCCTAACTTACAACATGTTGGACTATCCAACATGTAACCAACATGTTGAATTGTCCAACATTTATCGTTTGGCCGGGCCTTTATGCTTCGTGGCCAAGCTTTTTTACTCCTTCTTTGAGGTAAGACAACTGTCTTTTATTTACTTTATCTCAGTTGAAATTATCGGAAAAACTAAAAAAACATAAGCGCTGTAATCAGTGAAAGACTGAAATTTCCGCCACATTTTATCTCTGTCGCACTTCCCCCTATCATTTTTTTAGAAGATCTTGGATGGAAAGCATCGGACAAGATTTCGTTCCATCGTCTACTCTCACCTCTTTGAGAAAGACTATTTTTAAGCTAAAACCATCACTCATGGCGAGAAATTTATTTTGCGTCCGTGCGTCGGTCCTACCTAAGAATGTCACACAAATTCTCATTAAGGAAACTTTACTCAAACGAATATTAAAAAAATACAAAGAAAACAAGCCTACTTCTTTACGGAATCTTGGTCAAAGGAATCCCGTTCATCCGTGTTATCCCACATTTCGCACAAAGCAATAGCACGCTTCTTTCTGAAAGCCTTTTAACCTCTGGAAAGTTTTGCATCGGAGTTTGACTGACTTCTTTGTGTGTTTTATTTTCTTTAATAAGACTCCTTATTTTAAAAAGTTGCTTTCCAAAAATTCTATGTTTATCTTAAAACGAGGATTCTGAAACGAGAGTCGATTCAAGGATTTCAAACAGAAAAAGGCTGACAGCCGATCAGAAGGGTTTTCAATGGCTTGTCAATCACAATCACGTGAGAAACGCCATTTCTCAATGCTTCGAAAAAAGTACCTTTTTCGCTTTTGATGACCACTTCTAACGTCGAAATAACGGGAACCATTTGCAGTTTCGATGACATTGCTTCTTAGCAATAAAAGGATAGACATTTTGATTTGAAATTTTGTGTGGGAAAAATGGGAAAGATTAAGATATAGACAGCTAAAGACTGCATGTGGCACTGGTATAGCACAATTTTTGTAGTATTGAATAAAACTAGAGGTTGTATAATGACGCTATAAGGTAGTGTCGCATCCCACATATTTATGAGTACCCTGTTCCACAAGAGAAAGATAATTCAAGAATATATTGTCTAATGGTCCTTTTTACAGTTCCCGGCGCCATATTGGATTAGTAACCGTGCACACGCGATAACGAGGTTGGGGTTGACCCAGTGGTTCTTTCAAATAGCTGATCTGCTGATATTTCGTGTTCGAATGCGCTTTTTAATGCGA